CCCCCCCTGCCTGCGTTTCCCCGGCCAACTCAACGCCGACCTCCGCAAGCTGGCCGTCAACATGGTGCCCTTCCCGCGCCTCCACTTCTTCATGCCCGGCTTCGCCCCCTTGACGTCCCGCGGCAGCCAGCAGTACCGCGCCCTCACCGTCCCCGAGCTCACCCAGCAGGTCTTCGACGCCAAAAACATGATGGCCGCCTGCGACCCCCGTCACGGCCGGTACCTCACGGTGGCCGCCGTCTTCCGAGGGCGCATGTCCATGAAGGAGGTGGACGAGCAGATGTTGGCTATCCAGAGCAAGAACAGCTCCTACTTCGTGGAGTGGATCCCCAACAACGTCAAGGTGGCCGTCTGCGACATCCCTCCCCGGGGGCTGAAGATGTCCTCCACCTTCATCGGCAACAGCACGGCCATCCAGGAGCTCTTCAAGCGTATCTCGGAGCAGTTCACGGCCATGTTCCGCCGCAAGGCCTTCCTCCACTGGTACACGGGCGAGGGCATGGACGAGATGGAGTTCACCGAGGCCGAGAGCAACATGAACGACCTCGTCTCGGAGTACCAGCAGTACCAGGACGCCACCGCTGAGGAGGAGGGGGACTTCGGTGAAGAGGCCGAAGAGGAGGCCTGAGGGGACGGCCCTCGTCGTCGTCGTCGTCGTCCTAGGAGAGCCCTCGTCCTTCACCGCCGCCGCCGTCTTCTTCGGAGAGCCCTCGTCCTTCACCGTTGTCCTTGGAGAGCCCTCGGCCTTCAGTGTCGCCGTCCTTGGGAGAGTCCTTGCCCCTTCATCATCGTCCTCAGCCTTCATCGGTGTCCTCTGAGAGCCCTCGGTCTTCGTCAGCGTCCTCGGCCTTCGCCAGCGTCCTCGGGGAGCCCTCGGTCTTCACTCTCGTCACCGGAAAGCACTTGGCCGCCGCCGGCGTCCTCGGAGAGCCCTCGGCCTTCGTCACCGTCACCAGAGAGCCCTTGGCCTTCACCGTGGTCCTTGGGCAGCTCTTGCCCTTCGTCGTCATCCTCGGAGAGCCGTTGTCCCTCGCCGTCGTCGCCAGAAAGCCCTCGGCCTTTTGTCATTGTCACCGAAAAGCTCTCGGCCTACGCCGTCGTCACCAGAAAGCCCTCGGCCTTTTTCACGGTTGTCCTCGGAGCCCTCGGCCTTCACCGTTGTCACTGGAGAGCCCTTGGCCTTCGTC